AATGTTCAGAGGATGGAAAGGTAGAACAACTCCTGAGGATGCAACCTCTCTGCACTCGATAAAGATATTCTCAGCAGGGTCGCAGGGTGGATTTTGGTAGTTGTTTGGTGGGTGGATATCCAAAGAAGTGTCCAACTCATCCGGACCAGCACAAGAACTTGATTCACCTTCAAGAGGAGAATGGTCAATAAAGCCGTCTCTATACCCTTCAGCATACCCGAGAGCACTGGTTCTGGTGAAGTGGGTAAGGAGAGCTTTCATACCCCCTTCAACTTTGCCAACCATGTTAAGCAAAGAAGAACGTTCACTTAAGAACTTTTCCCGTGAGTTGGCATGAGACAATCGGTCAGCAATAAGTGAACGCTGAAGGTCTTCCTTCTCAGCCTTCAGTGAATCCCTTTCAGTCAGTGCAACGCTCTCTCAGTCTTCAGAACATCAACTTCATCCTGAAGAGAGTCCCGTTCAGCTTTAAGGGTATCCTGTTCAGCTCTGTGGGTGTCCATCTCATTTGACAGATTGTCTTTTTCTGTTTTTAAGGCGGCAACCCCTTTCTCTGACTCGCTCAGCTTAGACTCAAGCTCAGCAACTTTGACCTTAAGGCGGCTTTCTACTTCAACAGACCTTTTAAGGCCCACAGAGAGAGATTTGAGTTTTTTGTTCAGAGCCTCAATAGTCTTCTGGAAGGTAAACATCCCGAATAGAGTCTGCACAAAAGAAGGGAGATTCTGGTCAGTCTAGCCACAAAAGAGTTATAGTAGAAGAGAGACATATCTCAATAAGAAGAAGAGTTACCTCCGTGGCAGCAGCTGGGAACCGCTGGAACATCTCACCAAAGGACAACTTGTTCTGAATTTCAAGATCCTTGGGGGTCCAAAAACCCTTATAGAAATCAAAGGAGGTGAGGAGATCCTTGTATATAGAGTCTGTAGGGCCAATGGTCGAGCCATCTTCACGGCTGAGCAAAGGTCGCCATGGAAGAACGGATGATGTTGGACCAGAGGTTCTGGCAGATTCACCTTCTGGAATGAAAAACCGAGTTGGGGGCAAGGGTTCAGTAATCCTGAAAGAAGTTATCCTGGTCCTCCGGGCTGGTGGGACGTCACTCCGGTCATGACCGCCTTCAGGCATTGGCCTCTTTCCCAAACTTTTTTCTGACAGACCAGCACTAGCTGGTCCTCCATTGTTCTGGGAATCTCTATCATCCTGAGTGCTCTCTGAAGAAGTGTCAGACAGAATGTTTGAAGGCAAAATGATAGGAGCAGCAGGACGGGCTTCAGTAGAATGATCCACAGCAGGGTTCTCAGCATGGGTGAGCTCAGAAGGCCCAACAGCATAACGATTTGTGACTTGAGTCATAGCTGGAGCAGTCGCAACTTGTTCTGGGGCAGAGACAGCAGAGGTGGATGATGTAGTAGCAGGTGTAGAGAAAGGTATGGTAACAGGAGTAGCAAAAGGGATGGGAGCAGAACGCCTCATCCTGCTGAAAGATGGAATCTGAATGCTCTCCATTATAGACCCTAAGAGAGAGATGTTAGAGAGATTGTCAGGAGTAAGCAAATCTGTAACTGAAAGGACATTGTTCAGCACACTCTCTTGTAAGATGTCTAGCTTGGCCCTGCAAACCTGTTCATCATGAGGAATTTGAAGGCATCTACAAAGAAAAGTACAAAAACGGGGAAGACAACTTTCACAATGACATTTAGTGGGATGTGTTTTTAATTTTTTGTTGCCAGAGACAGAGCATACTCCAAAGGAAGAAGGGATGGAGAAAAACTGGCCGAACGGAGTCCGCCAATTCCCACTAACCCCAATCAAGTTTTGTTTCCAACCTTTTTTAAACGAGTTCTTATCTGTGCAGATCGACCGTTTGTCAATAGGAAAGAAGTGATAATACAGATCACTGTATTTAATTTTATTAATTCGGTAGCAGAGGAGAAGGTCGATGATGTCAAGGTTGAGACCCCTGTCACGATTCAAGAGCAGGAGGACTGAAATTACCCTAAGGAAGTTAGGGTTAACCTGAAGAGGGCAGAGCCCCAATTTTTTGAAAGCGTAACAAAAGAATGGGTGTAAGGGGAACCTAATCACGTTTAAATGGACGACGAAAAATAAAACCTCCCCAGGAAGGAGACCCTCGCCAGATCTCCCATCTAAGTTTGTTGGATAGATCCTGAGAGAGACGTCATTGGGAATGCTATTCTTGAAGCGAATGGTGTTCAAATTTGGGGGAGCCATAGAGAAGGGGAGGAGTCTTTGGCAGTAAAGGTGTCTTTTTCAAAAAGAATGGTAAAAAAAAAAAACCGACCTTAAAAGTTTGTGATGAACACAGCAACAGCACAGTAGCCAAAATCGCGAAGGAAAAACTCTTCGGAGAAATTGAAAAAAGATCGTCGGAAAGTACAGGAAGGCAACGGAGAATAAAAGCAAGGTATGTTAAAGGAAGATAAAAGTTGAGAGGATCGGGATTTTTAAAGAGAAGAAATGGAGGCGACGCAGAATTCCAAAGGTTAAGGCAAAAGTGGTGCAACAGATCTCGAAGTCTGGGTCTTTGTGTCAGCCGTTCGATTTCTCGTGTCATCGTTCCGAGGCGTTAGACCAAGATTGTGTCTTTTTAATAATCTCACCTTAATAAATGAGGGGAGAGATTATTGGGGGTAGATGAAGACACCAAAAATGATCCGGGCTTGGTATGGTTCGTATTGCTAAGAACGGGTCGGGTATAGATAACCAGGATGGAGCAAGTTCACGCTGAATGGGCCCAGATCCAAGAAGTCATTGTGGAAGCCTATGTTATGATGAAAGAAGTCGAGTCCAGCCAAAAGAGAACAAGATAGGTCCAGCTCAATGGTGGTTATAACCGTTTATAAATAAATGGGATTGAGGGGGAAAAGTGGTTAAAAATCATTGAGAGTGTAAAGTTTCTCTCTCTACAATTAGGGAAAAATTCTTTGTACTTTCAGTGTTCTACAAGTATGCTTGTTTTTAGTCTTTATTTTGTACAAATTGCATTTTTGAGTTAATTCAATTGAAAAAAAAAAAAAAAAAAACATAATTATATTACTCACCGAAAAAAGAAAACAAAAGGGTGGTGGTTAAAATTGAAAAAAATATATATATGTTAAGAACTTAGGACATAATATTATACTCTCTCCGTCTCAAAATACATATTCTGTATGGAAAATTTAACTTTTTATGATAATTAAATTTTAATAAATTTTTATTGTATTGATAAGAGTGAAGTTTCAAAGATACTCTTGCTAAAAGAAAAAATAATTTTTCATAATTAATGTAATTCTTTAATTAAAAAGATAATTTGAAAATATTATAAAAAAATAATACATTTAATTTTAAAATGAGATATCTCAAAATAATAAGATGGATAGATATTTGGGGACGGCTGTAATAGTTGAAAGTGATGGACAAGTTTAATAACGTCAAGACTCCACCAAACCATCTCGGCATATGTGGAAAAAAGGAGCTTATTAACTCCTTTTCCCATCTTGCAAGCAACAAAACAAATTAAATCCGGTATACGACAAATTAAGAGTCGATTAGGATGCATGCATCTTCGAACGGTCAGTATCCGCCCACGAAAGGCTCGCAGGTGCCAACCCCATGGGTTTTCTATACCACTCATAACCTCAGTAACCAACCAATTGAGAACCTATAGGTTGCAAGGGTAGGGATATGGTGGTGACATTTCTTTTCCGTGAGTTGATCCTGTGATGTAGATGGTCAAGATCACTTGCACTGACTAGAATGTGGTAAAGGATTGAGAAGCTTTTTAGTCTCCGTTTCTTCTTCACGTAGTTGGTTAGGTCAAGTCGCTACTGTGAGTTGTGTGGCGACATAGGTTGTGAAAAATTGAGTTTTAAAAACTGCTCTAGGGCGGTATTAATCATGTGTTTTTTTTAATTCAATTTACTCTACTAAAATTATTAGTTATTTAGATATTTACATACAAATTAAAAGCAAGTAAAATTTAAAGTGACACTAAATTTTAGTGAGGAAATCAATTAAAAAATGTCGAAATTTTGTGTGATATCCCGAACATAAAACGATCCACTATATATAAAGCAAAATATACCGAACTTTGATTCAGACTCAAACCCTTCACTCTACTAACACTTAATCCGCTAAACGTCCCTGACTTTACGACTTTCCGTTCAACAGCTCTCGACTTTAGACTTATGCCTCGAACCTTGTAGAATGATTGTTGCTAAATCAATAACACTCCGCAAGCATCTTGATCCCTTCAAAGTTTGAACGAAAATTCTTCTTCTTTGAATCTGAATTTTTTATTGAATTTTTTATAGAAGAAATAAAATTTGTTTTCTCTGATCGTTGTAGATGCAATCTTCAATATATTTGAATACGGTCAGGGTTTGAACAACACCCTAAATTCACTCGTGTGTGTATATAGTGTGTATGTTTTTAAAAATCTCACAAAAAGACTTTTAATGAAAATTATAATTTTAATGCAAAAAGTCACACCACCATACGTGAAAAAACATATGTTTATATAGAGTTTTGAAACCCTAATTGTACTTGAAAAATAAGTCAATTGCATGCATAAGGTTAATTTTAGAAGAAAGTCTATACAGAATAGGAAGTTGAAATAGAGTAGCAAACAAAGTTACTTACCAAAAACTGTTGTAGAACTTGAACCGATTCAACTGCCCTTGAACCATCGGTGATCAAGTTGGCTAGTGTGTTATTTTAAAAATTGAAATATTAACACTTGAATCGGTTCAAGTTGGCCAGACCTGAACTGAAGGCTTTTCCACAGAAAAATTTCGACAACGCTTATTTTTTAAAACATGTGATGCATGCCAATGTCCTTACCTTCTAACTAAACCTCCTAAGGTGTTGTTCTTAGCTTTTTCGAAGTCGTTAACTTATTGATTATGAATAACTCTTCAATTTCGCTTCCGATCTCAAACTTGAAATTTGAACTTACAGTTACAACGTAATCGGACTTGTTTTGACAACAAAACTCATATATTACAAATTTTATATCTCACGTACTAAACTGAGTCAACTTTACCAACACAAATCGTAGAACCATCTACCCGTCGATAGGTTTGTTTTTTGTTTTTTTTTTATCTCTTTCACTTTATTTTATTCAAAAAATCAAATATAAGCACTCACTCACTCACAATATTACTCCTAACATTACTCCTAACGAGCTCAAAAGTACAAGAAAGACGAAATTATCAGGATCCCATTCCTATTAAAAATTACAGAAAATTCCAATTGTCCACATGATCAACAGAACTGTCACTTGCAATATTGACTCCAGTGGCTACTTCATCAGTACTCCAAAGGCTTGCAATGAGCTGATCCTCATCTGAGCCATCCATGGACCATGTGAGTACTCCATTGTCAATGAACTCCATGTTATCCCACCAACACAGAATTTCATCAACCTTTAGAGGTGATGTTGTTGAAGGCTTGTTGGTGGGTGTGTCTCGAGATTGAGTGTTGTTGTCTACATTAATGGTAGTGTTTCCATTAAACCAGACTTGATTGCTTGCAAATCTCCGAGGTCGAGGCTTTATAGCTTTGGTTACTGCGTCTGTGCCGCGAGCCACAGCCTTAATCCGAAGGTGCGAGTTCCAGTAATTCTTCACATCATTTCCTGTCCTTCCCGGAAGTCTACCAGCAATCAGTGTCCATCTACTCAAATATTTATTTTTGGTTAGCAACACTTATCTACTCAAATATTCAATACAAAGTTACATATAAAGCACAAGGAGCAAAAAAGGCAAGAAAAGAAAACAAGGAGAAAAGAATTTAGAAGTTTTTAACCCCTTAAAAAGGCAAGAAAAGAAAAACAAAGTACAAGGAGCAAAAAAGGAATTTAAGGAGCTTGATGGTACTTTTTTGACCTTTTTATGGTAAAAAGTTGAAAGTTCAAGTTTAGTGAGTGAGTGCGTAAGTTTTCTGTTAAAGTTAAAATTATAAGAATAAAAATCTCAAAATAAATGTTTGTTTTTAGGAATCTAACTTTTTAAACTAATAAGGTTTAATATATATATTTTTTATTGTAATATATATATTTTTTATTGTAATGATAGTAAGTTCAAGAAGGTTAAATTGGTAATGTTATCAAAAAAAAATAATACTTTAACTTTTCAAATGTCACATTATTTTGGGACAATCAAAAATGAAAAAGTGAACATTTATTTTGGAACGAAAAAAAATAAATAAATAGGGAGAGTCTATCGTTTTTTCATTTTATAGTATGCATGGCAGGTATATGTGTGTGTGTGTGTGTGTTTGTTTTGAACGTGAATTAACTTGCCTATTGCCTAAGAGCTTATGAAGTTTGATAATGAGTTCAACTTCATCTGATGCAAAGACTCCTCTCTTTATATCTGGACTTAGATAGTTCAACCACCTCAGTCTACAACTTTTCCTGCATCTGTTTAAACCTGAAAATATATATATATTTATTAAACATAAATGCTCACTTGTTTGATGTATAAAAAAATATTATGCACAACTAAAGTATTATCCCTCAATCTCATTAGATAGTCAAAAGGCTATATAATTATTAAAAAAGATAGTTTATGTTTCTATAGCCAACTTGAGAAATTAATTCATCATAAATTCTTACCAGTGAGAAGGTGAACATACAATTCTATATATATAACTATAATATGTAAATATAGTACATATATAGTATGTATTTACCTGCTTTAAGAGGAACTTGATGCCAGTTACCTTCACCGTATTTCTCAATGCACTTCCTTAGAATACTATCTTCTTCTGGAGTCCAAGCACCTTTTCTCACTTCAAGAGGAGTTTTTCTCTTCATATCTATATATTGTCTATATATATATATATATATCGATATGCAGTGCCTAAAGCTAAGTAAGCACAATGATCATCAACTAAGCTCTCACATTTATAAGTGCGATGATTTCTCAGTATCTTCTAAGATCAATATTCTTAATATATATTACTAGGCCAACGTGCACATTTACGGACCACAGAGCACATTTCCCTAAGCAGTACAAATTTTTTTTGGAAGCATACAGACTAATTACGTGGCAGAACAAGTGAACACCGTTACACAATCACGTGGAGACCAAATAAGTGATAATTCCCAGAAATTTTAGCTGATGGCATGTTGTCCCCATGCAACGTCAAAGGTTTGAAAATGTTTTGTTTTACTGTTTTTGAAAAATTCATTTATATAAAAATTCTGAAAACAATTCTCAGCTGATGGCATGATGTCCCCAATCAACGTCACAGGTTTGAAAATGTTTTGTTATACTGTTTTTCAAATATTCATTTATAAAAAAATTTTGAAAATAATTCTCAAAAATTGTTTAATTTGTAATTCTGCAAACAATTTTTAAGAATTTAAAAAATAGAAAACAGTTTTTAGATAACTATAAAAGATAGTTATCTGATAACAGATATTTTTATAATTGAGTTTTTAAAAAATTGAATCAAGTATAATTTTTAATTTTTTAAAAATAAAAAATTATTATCAAACTTCCTCATATACCATATGTTAGGAGTAAACCTGTCAATGGAGTGGATTCTGATCCGGATCCGATTCGAATCCGATTAGATTAGTCAGATATGGATTGAACAAAAAGTCCGATAACCCGGTTACGATCCGAATCCGATTATTCGTTAGCTTAATAAATCGGATATGGATTATGCTGATCCGATATGATAAAAATTCGATCCGATCCGATTGAAATTATATATATAAATAATTATATATATATAATTATTTATCAATACCCCTATTAGAATTGTATTAAAGGTAACTCAAAAATCCAAAATAATAATAATGTTATATAAAAAAATTGTGGTGTTCTCATTTACATGCTATTAAATCTCTTAGTACACATATTAATAAAATCATACTCTTTATAATTATATATGTTAGTAAATATTAATTTAATCCGATTTCGAATCCGATCCGATCCGATTCGAGTCCGAGTTAAATAGGATATGGATTGGGACATTCAATTCGAGAACCCGTTAGTGATTCGAATACGATAATCCGTTTGATTAACAAATAGGATATGGATTTGATCGATCCGATCTGAATCCAATCCACTGACAGGTCTAGCCATGAGGCATCATCCCTTATAAGTTATAAATGTAGTAACAAACTTTTGCTTCCGAAAGATTTGGGACGTCACACACCATCTAAGGAATCCGTGTGCGTATATTGGACGTCACACTAAAGGAAATGTGGTCCTCTGGATTTGCACTCCCATGGAGTAATCTCTAACCTTTTTCATTTACAGGGTAGTTGTTACAAAGTCTTATCTCTCCAATCAGAATGTAAAAGTGATTCACTATACGTGAGCTGGGTACTAGAAGCACCTAATGCTTAAATTTTTGGGTTAAATCATTTAGCACTTAACTCGTTATAATTAGTATCAGAATTAAAATTTAATCATTGATCTAGTATTATGTCGAGCACCCTTTCGATAGGAGCCCAGATCCAGGCCGAATGGTCTGACCACAACAAGAACGTTGCGGGAGGAGCCCAAGTCTAAAGCCCGAGTTTAGGCTGGGATAGTCAAGGTGATCAGACTGCACAATGAGGGACCGGGAAAAGGTAATTAAGAGTGAATTTGAACCTCTCTTATGTATAAATAGAACCTTAGCGAAGTTGGAAAAGATATATTTGTTTAAGATGATTAAACAATGCAAATTAGTGTCTAAACTTAGGTAAAAGTCTTTCGATGAAAGATTGAATTGAAAGGGTAGTATTATTTTTTAATCTCCTAGACTTGGTACGGGTAATATTATTTTTTAATCTCCAAGACTTGGTAAGAAATTGTTAATATTTCTTCTTCTTCTTCTTCTTCTTTTTTTTTTTTTTTTTCCTAAGCAAACAAAAGTATCTCCAACATCTTCACATCTAAAAGTAAGAACTCTCCACATTTTTTTCTTATTACAACTTGTTCTAAGGCAGGAAAAAATTATAATTTCTTGTATTGACGAGTCTAATTGTTGTCGATAACAAGACACTCCTAAGTAAATGGTTCCAATTAATTCATATGTAAAACCAGCTGCACTTTTTTTTTGAAACTCGATTGCAAGAAAAATAAATTGAAAACACCTCCATAGTAAAGAAAAGTTCAAATTCGAACTCCACCGTGAAGCCCACTACAACTTGGGGGAAGTCTCGTGTGAGACTCTCTAGTACCATTCAAAATAATTATTATTATAACTTAAAAGTGATTTAAATAAAGAGAAATCATTGAAGTACTAGTCATATGAACTAATAAGAAGTACGATATAACATCCTATAAGAAATGAAGAACATGGTTATGTGTTACAAAAAGAAATTTGTCCAATATCGAATTTGGATGTGAGAATATTTGGATATCAATTGGTGAGTATGTAATACTACCTAACAGTTTGAATTTTTGAATAAATAAGTAAGCGCTCACCTGTTACAATTAGTATTATAACCAAATCCGGTACCACGTCAAGCGCCCGATCCGAAAGGCGTCCGAGTGAACCCTGGGTAAATAAGGTGGCTTGATCGCAACTAGGGTATTGTGAGTTCGGGTGGAAGAGAATGTTATAAGGGAAAATTAGTCCCACATTGGACTTGATGTAAGAGTGATTGAGTATAAATAAGTGAATATGTAACACTACTCAATAATTTAAACTTTTAAATAAATGAATAAACGTCCATCGATTATATTATGTCACCACCTTGTGTTGGGCAGTTGAGCAACATGTCCGTCATGGTCCCTCGGCCCCTTTCAAATTGCTTTCTGTTCGAGTTAATAGGCTCAAATATTTCATTTGCTCATGAATGAAGACCGATGAATATGTTGGTCAGTGTGTAAAACTTTGTGCATTAAATGAATGGTTCTTCACGGTCGGTGCATGAATGAATGAAATCAAAATATTGTATACCGTAGCTAAGATGAGAACAAAAGTGCGGTGAAAGAAATCAGCGAAATCACCTTTTTTAAATATTGTGGCGTTTGGTATTCGATCTCTATGTCCATTTATGTCTTGTAATCGGAAAAGAGAATTGGGCTTACCTTGATACTATTTACAATGAATCTTATCATTTAATTCAAAATTTTAAATTATCAAGTCACTAAGCCATTAAAGACTTTTGCCTAAGGCCTCATTTGAAATATTCCTTATTTTTATAATATACTTTGTAATTTGTATTTATTTTTAGATCAACTTAGAAAAATAAATAAATTGATTGTTTTTAAAGATCATGTCTTAAACATTGCAAATTTCTCAATTTTTATTTTTTGTACATATCAAGAATAAGAATATGAATTTTACGAAAAAGATATATGTAAAGTTGTTTTTTTTTTTTTTTTTTTCACAATTTAAAATGCCTCTAAATTTTTTCTTCCTTAACCCTCAAACAATAATTGATAGTTGACAAAGTTTACCATCCCAATAAAAGAACAGATTTCTTTCACGAAAAAGGATTTGATAATAAATCATTAAGTGGGGGTCCTTAACTTCAACGAATGCTCAAATCGAATGGAAGCTAGTTCAAAGTGACGGCCATCAAAAGAGCAAATGATCAACCGAGCGAAGTCAAACACGTTTTGAGTGAGTGGGATTCCACTCAAACACGTGATCGTTTAAAATGCAGGATCACATTGTCGGTTAATAGGGAAAAAATCGTCGGTCATCTCTTATTGGAGGGCGCGAATCACCGGCTCTGTAATTCTCATGCTGTTTTTTTTACAGTAAACAATAAGTGACTTTAATTTGGTTACGTTTTACCCCACTTAATACGCGCTAACATTGTGTTTGACAATTATATCACTATTTATAAGTAATATTTCACCACTATTTTTAAATAACGTCACAAAAGTCTAAAAGTAATATCACATAGTATAAAAAGTAACATCACCACCATTTATAAGTATCTTTCACCCTTAGAACGTGGTGATGTTACTTTTAGACTATGTGATATTACTTTTAGACTATGTGATGTTACTTATAAATAGTGGTGATGTTACTTTTTAGATTATTTTTACATTTCACCACCATTTATAAGTAATATCACAGAGTTTAAAAAGTAACATCACCATTTGTAAAAGAAATATTATCACTTTTAATTTCAAATAATAACATAAATAATATGTTGAATTGAGTTATATTTATATGTGACATTACTTTTTAGACTATATAATGTTACTTATAAATGGTGGTGAAATGTTACTTATAAATAGTGGTGTAATTGATCAAACATGGCCTTAGTGTCCGTTAACTAAAGAACGATGTGGCCAAATATGGACCACTTAAAAGTTATAGCAGGAAATTACATGGGAGCCTCACTGTAGATGATTCGCGCCCCTCATTGGAACATGTCTTTGGAGGAGTAAATACTTACATGACACTTTTAATTAAAATAGTATTTAGGGTAAAATACAAAAAATCTCTCTAACTATTAGGGTATTGTAATTCCCTGAATTACAAAAAAAAATCCCCCCCAAATTATACATTTGTTGCAATTTACTCCCTGAGTCAACATTCCGGTACCAGAAATGCCAAAAGACCATTGTACCCTAAATAGAACAACACAGTTTAAGGCTAAGGAAATCTGCAGTTGCTGATGTGAAAAGTGAAATCTAAAGGACCAATGAATAGGCGACAACAAGGCAATTGTGATAAGGCTACAGATATATTCCCTCAACCACACAACCCAAGTGGCGCCATTTTTTATCTATATCAACTAGCAGTTGCAGAGCTTTACAAGTCCTCGATCTTTTGCTAAAACGTGACTAAAACCTTAACATCTCTCTTGCTACAAGTGTTGAAGCCTACATCAGTAACTCTCTTACCCTAAATAATTGATTGAAACCATTTCTAAGTTGAGTTTGTAGATGATTTTTATACTAGTTTTATAACCATTGTTGTTGTTTTCTTGGTATGTATAAAGCATATTTTCATTTTGAAAGTATTCGAAGTCTACATATGATGTTGATGTTGTTGTTTTCAAGTAATTTTTCGATGCCTTTGTGTCACTTAATTTTTAGTTTTTTTTTTGTCTTTTTTTATTCATGACTTGGTTTCGCCTTTTTTCTACCTTTTTTTTGTCAAATGTTGTCTGCCTTTGTGTTGCTTAATTTTTAGGTTTTTTTGTGTCTTTTTTTATTGATTTAGTTGCTTTCAAGCCTTATTTGTGCCATTATTTTTTGTCAAATGTTGTCTGCCTTTATGTTGCATAATTTTTAGCTTTTTATGCCTTATTCTATTGATGTGGTTGCTTTCAAGCCTTTTTTTTGCAATATTTGTTTTTTGTTCAAATGTTGTCTCGATCAGTGAACTTTGTCTTCATGAAACAATATAAAATTATTCATTCCATTGGTGGTCTCTCTATTGAATATGTGTTTTTTTATGCTTTGTAGTGGTTAGGTAGTCCTTGTGTATAAAATTTTGTTGGTTGTCATTCATTGAATTGTCTTTGTTATATGAATTTTTTTTACACCTGTTCAGTGTATGTGCACAGTTGCTGACAATAATTTTTCTGTACACTTAATGATTGAATTGATGGTCTGTACACTTATTCACTGAGTTTACTTGTTTATTTAATTATGTTGTTGTAGATGGATGGTAAGTGCACCATTGAAGTGCATCATGGGGATATTTTTAAGAAATCATACCCTATGACATACATGAGAAGAAAAATCTCAAATTTTGATAATGTAGACCCAGATAAGATGTCCTTTATTTAGATTCAAGGGATGGCAACTCAGTTGGGATATGGGGAGGTCAGTGAAGTGTTTTACAAAGTACCTTATCAATGGCAAAAGTTTAATGAAGTCAAATGTGACTTAAATGTATTTAGAATGTTTTATGACCATGAAGCCCATAGGGAAATCAACAAAATTAAGTTGTACATTGTTGCACCTATCTTGTTGAATGAAGCACCAAATAAGGATATCTTAGGTGATGATGTGGGCTAGGGTGTAGGGTGGGATGAATCAGACCCCATTGCTCCTGTGTCAAGCCTATATGGCCCTAATGATGAGTTGATAAGCTTGAATGGATCTGATGATGAAGTTCTTGATAGTGATTCTACGTACCAAGAATACATTCCTTCAAGGGATTTAGGAGAAAATGAACTAGAAATAGGTATGAAATTTGGCTCTGCTGAAGATTTTAGGTTGGCACTTAGAGAGACAGCATTGAGGGGTAAGTTTGATATAAAGTTCACAAAGAATGATGGAGATAAGGTAAGTGCAGTATGTAAGGTTGAATGTGGTTGGAGAATATATGCAAGTAAAACAGAAGGTGAAGATTGTTTGATAGTTAAGACATATGTGCAAGATCATGTAAACTGTCTTTAGTTTCATAGCAATGCACAAGCCTCATCATCCTTTATTGCAAACAAATACTTAGAACAACTGAGATTGAACCCAAAGATGCCTTTTAGTACACTTAAGAGCACTATTGCTTCTGATTTGGACATTGATGTGTCCAAACACAAAGTGTATAGGGCTAAGAGGAAAGCATTAGAGATGATTGAAGGAAATGAAGAAGAGCAATATGAAAAAATGAGAGATTACTGCAGTTTAATCTCGAGAATTAACCCTGGCAGTATTGTTAAATTGCAAACTGAGCCCACTGGTGTTGAGAATAAGAGAAGGTTTATGAGAGTATTTATCCGTTATGATGTAATGAAAATTGGTTTTAAAGAAGGTTTTAGGCTTCTTATTGGTGTGGATTGTTGCTTCCTAAAGGGACCATATGGTGGCTACCTTTTGAGTACAGTGGCCAATGATGGAAATGGACAGATGTTTACAGTGGCAATTGCAGTAGTGGAGTCTGAGACAAGAGATTCTTGGGAATGGTTTATGGGAGAATTGATGGATGCTATAGGACCTTACCAAGATATAACTTTTATATCAGATAGATAGAAGGTACACTTTCTATTTAATTTACTTCTATTTATGTTTAGATTCTATTTTAATTTAATTTTGTGGTCTGTTTTATTCTACTTTTTTTAACACTGATTTTCTGTTTGATTTGTCTCATGTGTAGGGTTTAGTAGAAACCTTTGAGAACATGATGGAAGGGTCAGACCATAGATTTTGTGTAAGGCATCTGTATGAGAATTTCAAACTCATGTTCAAATGACAGCAACTAAAACTAGAGTTATGGAAGGCAACAAGGGCATATACTGAAGCAGACTTTGAATAACATATGAGGAAAATAAGGGACTTAAATGTGGAAGCTTATGAGTGGTTGAGGAAGGTGCCAGCTGTTTTGTGGTCAAGGTCAGGCTTTACCCAAACTTCAAAATGTGATATGGTCATCAACAACATATGTGAAAGTTGGAATACAGTTATTGTTGATGCAAGAGATAAGCCAATAATATACATGCTGGAATGGATTATGAGGCATCTAATGCTAAGGTTTTAATGCAAGAGAGAATGGATGTTATTATAACAAGGCTTGTTATGTCTAGAAATTCAAAAGAATCTAAACAAAGTGAAACACCAAGCTAGAATGTGTAAGGTGCATTATACTGGTGATCAAAAGTATGAGGTTGAATGTTATGGAATAAGTGAAGCAGTTGACATTGATAAGAAAACTTGTAGTTGTAGGGTGTGAAATTAGACTGGCATCCCCTGTAGGCATGCTGTAGCATGCATCTTTATGAAGAGAGAAACTCTTGAGGCATATATTCACCCATACTATCACAGAGAAACCTACCTCAAGTCCTATGCTGGTTTAATCCTACCCATTATAATGGGAAGGTTGATGAAAATAGATCCCATTCAACCACTGCTTCCACCACACTATAGGAAGCCCACTGGTAAGCCAAAGAAGGCTAGGAATAAGAAGAATGATAAACCCAAGGGTGGAACCAAACTTAGTAGGTCTAAGGAAAATTTGAAGTGTTTAAGGTGTAAGGAGAGTGGCCATTGTTGACCCTAAAGGTCATTCAAAGATCGTCTAATAATTTTGATGATTACAAAACATTATGAAGTGTTCTCGGTCTAATGTTTGCATTGAGCTTGTAGGGCAAAGGAAATAAAATATGCCAGGCAACCGAGACAAAGAAATCATTTCAAGAGAAATCTACTCCAAGAATAATGCGATTATGATTGGCTTGAAGATAAATAGGTAGATAGATCGGTGAGTGATTAGGATTTTCTGTTAAAGTAATCTATGCTTTAATTTGAAGCTCAAATCTATTGGCTCATGCATTTTCATACACATCTTTCAAGATTCTGTACTTAAAAAGAAAAATAAAAAATCTCCTTAGAATCTGGTAACCGGTTATGAAGTTTCATCTAACCGTTTAGATGAGCTAAAACATAAAGCAACACATGATCGAAGGTATCTCATAACCGGTTAGGAAGTTTCATCTAACCATTTACATGAACAAAACAGAAAGCTTGATCTTCTTATCCGCACCTTGTAACCGATTAGAAGAATTGTTCTAACTGTTTAGATCAACATACAAAACATTGTATCTACCTTCTCGTAACCGGTTAAAAGATCTCAAGTAACCGTTTACATGTACTTAAACAGAATACGATTTTTTTTTGGCCAATGAAGTAACTGGTTAGAAGAAGCTATATAACCGGTTAGATGTGCTTTAACAGAATGAAACTTTTCTTGGCCATTGATGTAACCGGTTAGAAGAAGTTATATAACCGGTTAGATATGCATTAACAGAACGACACTTATCTTGGCCTTTGATGTAACCGGTTAGGAAGCCTCTTGTGTTCGAATAGTTGGCCTTAACTAAAGAAGTCCCTTAGCAGATGTAACCGGTTAGGAAAAATCCTCTAATCAGTTAGATGAGATCCAATCTCACTGAAGCAGATCTGAAGTTGTTATATTTATTGCGCTAACGGTCACATAAACAATTAATGCTCTTCAACCTACCACAACAGATATATTTGAGCAATTAATGCATTTCATTTTTCAAAAACTCTATAAAAAGACAAGCATTGAAGAAGGCTAGGGAGCGGTTGAGAGAATTCAAAAATATCATTCAAAGTATTTACTCAAGCATTCATTTCACTCAACCATACCAACTTGAGCTTCATTTTAATTCATCTATTACTCTAGCCTTGTGAGCTTACATTTGTACATCTATCTTGAGAGAGATTCATTCTTGTATCACAACTACAATTTCTTCTACAAACTTGTAAGGGTTGGTGTAACCCAAAGAAGCCTAGAAGAAAGGTGTTCTTCTAGCAAAGAAGAGAAGCAAGTGTTTGCTTCATGTAAATGTTTGCTCTCCACCCGTAAGGAGAAGCCATAGTGCATCGGGAAATCTTAAGAGGGATCTTGAGCCGAGGAGTAGGAGTTTCCGAACCTCGCTAAAATCACCGAGTCATTGTTTGAAATTTCTCTTCTCTTATCTCTTTCACAATTGTGCTATTAATTGTTTACTTTCATATCTTGTATGTTGCATAATTGTTTGAATGGTAGAATAGAATTTGCAAATCTATAAATTACGAAAATTGGCCATTGACTCTATTCACCCCCCCTCTAGAGTCAATTAGTGGTTAACAGCCATAACACATGTTTGAATTGACTGTTAAATTGTTGCATTAATCTGTTTTGTAGGCAGTTGCTCTGTTTAAAAAAATAAATAAACTGTTTGCGTGAGTTTTAATTTTGCTTAACCTTATGTATTTGGGATTAAATGAATGATTTTATTAGATTCTAGGACTTCAATTGAACCCTTAAATAAGCTATAAAAATTGTATAGAGTCGCTGCACTTCGCCGGAGGCAAAGAAGATGCACATAATAGGGGATACGACTCTCAACAGAGGAGAGGCGGCTCCACAAGGGGGTGGAGCCGGCTCCACAAGGGTAGAGCTGGCTCCAATAAAGGGTGGAACTGGCTCCACCAAAGGGAGAGGCAGCTCCACTTTTGTGGAGGCGGCTCCTCCTTTGTTTTTTTTTATTTTTTTTCCACGTTCTGACTTCAGTTTGGCCTGTAGGAAGGTTTCTAGGTTGGTTTAGGGTATGTGGATGATCTGTATAATTATTCTAGAGATGTATAAACTATTGGGAAGCATGTTAATGATATTATGTTGAAGCATGCACAAAGATAAGGTTCAACATTAAACCTGTTTGGGGAACAGTGGATGAAAGGATTGAAACTAGTATATTGTTCTTACTATTTTCTGAAACAGTTGGGTTCTTTGCCTAAATTAAAGACATTAAACATGTCTTTACTGTGTTACAAGTATATAGTTATTTATCTGGAAACGTAAACCTGTTTAGTTGGAATTAATTGATGATTACCTTTTCTGTTTATTGCATCAATTATAGTTCTGTTTGGAGGAATTAAATGTGCAATTTTATTTCATGTATTTAAAGGATTGGAACTGGGATTCTAAAATTGTTGTTGGATGCATAATTTAGTTATACACATATTAAACTACAATTATACAAATTTTGGAGTATGGTTGATTAGTATCTGATACTGTTTCCATTAACTATGTTAACTGGAGGAGCTAAATGTATAGTCTTTTCATTTGTACCAAAAACTGTAATGAGATATCTAAATGTTATATTGGATGCATAAATTGGTTGTGTACATGCTAAACTATATTTATGCTTATTTGGGATGTTAATAAGTAATTATACTGTGCTATTAACTACGTAAACTGGAGGTTGGTATGCGCCGGTATGGGACAGTGTCATACTAGGTACGGATTAGTTCAGACACTAAGCCCTACCTAAATTTGGATTAAGATATGGATTAATCATAAAGATTAAGTCCATCAACTATATGTGTCATATCAATTGTGAATTGAATGACCTACTATGGTTTCAGGATGGATTCATTATACATATATCAGACCACTACACAGATAGATGATATTCTGTATTAGGAGGAGTACGGACTTTATATATTTATTATATGTACCATGGTATGAGCTTGAGTCTCAAGACCATGGTTAAGGCGCGTATATCGCCTAGGATGGATAACTGGACGTAGGTGTTATTCCCTGGTAGGTCTAAGTACTCATGCCCACCTTAGGGTGCGTATATGCATGTTGCCTTCTATTCAGGCTGAGACAGACTTACTGGACTAGCGAGCGTCCTATCGTGTGTACTTTATACTTATATGGACTACTCTAGATATTGTTGAGTCTTCCTAGGATGTATCTGCGTATCGGATTACTGTATGGATTGTAGTAGATCGGGACTTGCATGTGGGCCTGACCCACTTCTTTATTTTTCAACTCTAGATATTGTTGAGTCTTCCTAGGATGTATTTGCATATCAGATTACTGTATGAATTGTAGTAGATCAGGACTTGCATGTGGGCCTGACCCACTTATTTATTTTTTAGGTGTTCGTTAGTTCCAGAGTTAGAGCTTGGACGTGTAGAGCAGATACAGATATTCATTCCCCCGACTATGTAGGAATCTTCTTTATGTTAGCTTTAGATTTTATTTCTATTATTTCAGTTTCGGTTTGAGAATCTTTAATAAGGGGTCCAATGGATGGATTCCCAAGTTGTAAACCTATGGAGTTTGGATTTAACAGATTTCAATAATTATATTATTTTAAGGATTTTCAATTAACATTCTTTCAGCTTATTGTTTTTATTTCTTATTTTATCTTGTATTCTGTGTTCGGTTACATATTAATTGTTTGATATCCCTCGGTTTTGGGCCTGAGCCTGATCAACCCGTGTCTCGGATCCGAGAGGTATCACATACAAGGACCTGCAAAGCACCTGAGCCATTGGTGATTGAGAAACCTCCTCCAAGAAGGGGAGGTAGACCACCCATTCTTAGAAGGGGAAGAGCAAGAGTACCTGAGGGCATGACAGGCAGAGGAAGAAGGGGAGGAAGAGGGAGAGCCAGAGGAATTGAAATCCCACCTCCAGTACCTTCAAACCAAGAGGTACTTTTAATATGATATTTA